AGTTCACGACTTCCGGCCAAGCGAGGCAACTCTTTAGCTCTTTTGAGTCTGTTTTCTTTCTGTTGCGGTGTAAGTTCTTGCACTTTTTGGAATTTAAATGGCTTTACCCCGAGCTCATTTTTCAATATTTTCCGAATGGAATATTGCGATATGTTCATCTCACGAGTCATTTTTCGGTTACGGTGGCGCGGGTTTCGATCAAGTCGCTTCTTTACTTTTCGAATCATTTCTGCTGATGTTGCTGTTTTCTTCCGTCCACTTCCTTGACGTCGGGCTACGCTAAAGATTTGTTCACATTTAAATGCTGGAGTGCCAATTGTGTTTTTCCAGCCAAATATAAAGGAATCACACTATCACGCTTCAATTTCATCACGAATAACTTTTTTCTTGAAAATTCTCACCAAAATGCTTTTGTATCCTTGTAAATAATATATTGACCTGTCACTGGAATAATTTTAACATTTTTCGGACGAGTGGCTTAGAAATGACAACAGTCTGAAGTTGGTTGTAGTTTTTTCATCTCACCCTGCATATACGATTCTTAAAGACAATTGCTGATTTATTTCGCATATATAAGGGTTAGAATAATTCACAATCTTAAAAAGGTACCAGCGGGAGTGGGCCTATAAATTTCATATTCAGATCAGATCTCTTGTGGGTAAAAATATTGTAATAACAAGATTTGATGAAAATCATTCAAATGATTTCGCATGTTACGTGAATCATATAATTATTCAAAAATTTGACCCTCTGTGGGAGGGGTGCCAGGAAGAGAAGGCCGATGTGTTGCATCTCCATAATAGATCTTGTGTAGTATTAGGTTGTTTCAAGTTGCCTAATGTTAGTTTATTCAAAATATTGATCCGTTGTGGGGGAGGTAGCAGAAGGAAAAGTTCGTTATATCCGTTTCTCATACCTTATCTTGTGTTGGTAGAATTATTGGAATGTGCGAATTTTGAAGACAATAGGGCCCTTATTTCACATTTTGTAATAGTTATTATTATGCAAAATGTTGACCCGCTGTGAGAGATACTAGAAGGAGTGGGCCAATATATCCCATCATATTAAAAATTATGACCTTTGTGGAGTAGATACCAAAAGGTGTGAGCCGGTATTTCCCACATTCATACCCTATCTTGTAATGGTTAAATTTTTGGGACGTGCAAAATTTTACAGAAAATCTGATGAATATTTCGGTTTTTATGAACGTTTTAGATATTCCGAATTTGGACCTTTTGTGGGGGAGGTACTAGAAGGAGTCGTCCGATCTTGTCCTTTCTCGCACCCAATTTTGCGGTAATGCAAATATCACGATATGCACAGTTTGAACAAAATCAGATTATCCGTTCTCTTTCTATGCGGTAAATTATTTTCTATGAAAATGATGACCTTTTGTGGGGAAGGAGGAATGGAACGATATTGTCCATCTCCGAATTTTATCTAAGTTTGACAAAAATATTACGATATACCAAGTTTGGACCAAATCGGCGAATACTCCCTTCGAGAGTTATCGTGCCCACCAACCAGCCAGACGGACGGACGAACGGACTCGCTAAATCGACTCCAAATGTCCTGAAACGGATTTGGTCCAAAGAGACCTTGGGTCTTAAACTGTTATTTCGACTAGACATGTTTTGACCGTAACCCTCTCTAGCCATATGGCTGAGTGTATAAGAAGGCAATAGTTACCGTAGTTTTCGTTCAATGATCTTTGGGTCAAGAAGTTTTATTAGAAAAATCTACAGATACAGCATTTTTCGTGCAGAAACTTTACGAATAATTAAGCTTTTATTAGGGATATTTAACGGATAACGTGTTTTTCTTTAGAAAAATCTTCGGATAACATGGTTATCCATTGAAAAAAACGTATACATTCAATTGTTTATGGTTTTTATTTCCAATTAGAAAACACAATTTCCTTCCACTGTTCCCTAAAAATGCATTTGGCAACAACTGTTGTACTGTGGGTAATTTTTAACATATTTTCTTTTGCAATATAATGGTCGTTTGTATCGATATCAGAATGTATTAATGATACATAATGACATTTTGATAACGAAATGTTGTTGGTTATCTACATATTTGTTGGACCATTTTTTCGGTATTGGATATTGCATTCCTTTTTATACCCTACACCACATAGTGGTAAGGGTATTGTGTCTTTGTGCATTTGTTTGTAACAGGCAAAATAAAATGAGATAGACCCATAGTTCCTTTTGATGGTCTGCATAGAATCACTTTCTGAGTTGATTTATACATGTCAGTCCGTCTGTCCGTCCGTCCGTCTGTCTATGTATTCTTGTGAATAAAATGCAGGTCGCATTTATTATCCGATTGAGATGAAATTTTGCACACATCATATGTTTGGCCCAAAGACGAACTCTATTGAAATTGGAGATAATCGGTCAAAATTTAGATATAGCTCCCATATATATCTTCGTCCGATTTGCTTTTTATTGTGCACCAAACGTGTATGGAATTTTGAACATACAACCAAATTAGGCCATAAAATAAGTATACCAAATTTGATCGAAATCGGTTCAGATATAGCTATAGCTCCCATATACATTGTTCATCCGATTTGTTATTTTTGTCCTCCGCAGCCGTAATATGGACTCTGTAACAACAATATTTAAGCAAATATATCAAATGCAGCTCAGAAATATCTTTGCCAAATTTTATCGAGATCGGTTCAGATTTAGATATAGCTCCCATATATAACTTCGTCCGATTTACATTTTATTGTACACCAAACTTCTAATATTTGCCCAAATTGGATGAAATTTGGCACTTACGACCGAATTGAGTCTAGAAGCTAGTATGTCAAATTTGGTGAAGATCGATTCAGATATAGCTATAGCTCCCATATATACTGTTCATCCGATTTGTCATATTTGCTACCCGCAGCCGCAATATGCACTCTGTAACAACAATATTTGGGCAAATATATCAAAAGCAGCTCAGAAATATCTTTGCTAAATTTTATCGAGATCGGTTCAGATTTGGATATAGTTCCCATATATATCTTTATCTGATTTCAAATTAATTTTGCACCAAATGGGCAATGCAAGTCCGAATTTAAAATATACAAATGCTTCGTCATATTTAGTCCTTTAAATTATAATTATAATCATAGCGTGTATTATTGAATTTTCCCATAAAAACTTTTAATCGTTATGTGGAGTTCTGCTAAATTAGAAAAGTGGTGTAGGGTATCAAACAGTTGGCCCCGCCCGACTTTAGGACTTTCTTTACTGGTTTTGAAACTATTTATACCCTACAACACTATGTGATGGGGGTATTATAAGTTTGATTGGGCCAAAAATTATGTAACACCACGAAATATTGGTTTCCCACATAGGTCGATCAAGCTATGTATGTCCGTCTGTCCATTTTAATTTGTAATCACTCTACAGGTCGCAATTATGGCCCGATCTTCACGAAATTTATAATGGAGGTGGGCTAGGGTCAGAATTGAACCCTATTTCTTTTGGAGATTATCGCATAATATTTAGGGCTTGAAATGGACCAAAAAATAAAATTTTTCCTGATTTTGCAGCCGTTAAAAAGGTCACAAATAGAAGCCAGGACACGAAATCTCGCATAAAGTTAGACTTTAGGAAAGCGGGTACAATGGACCACTAATTTTGTGTGAAAAAATACCAGCATTACTTACAGGCGATATCCGAAATACACAAAAGGTGAATTTCTGGCTTTTTTATGCTGATTTCGTTGACGAATATAGCCAAATATCGTGGAGAAGCAAATCATATAGATGAGTCTAAATTTGGAGATACAGAGGGGCTTCTTGCTTTTGGAGATGATTGCAAAATATTTATATATGTTTTTCCGATCACTAAATTGAAGCCAATCGACACGCCGGTGAAGAGAGTTAAGGACAGGGAAGAATTCTAGCATTTTGGATGACTGTATTATATTTAGCTGTAAAATGGATCACAACAACTAACAGCCCGACGGAGTGTATAAATATTGGACAAATGTCGCTAGTCTAAATCCTAATTTCAAAAGCGAAATCTTCTAATATGGATTTGGACATAAGGGGGCTTCTAACATATTGTAGTGTTGTAGGGTAAAACATAGTCGGCCCCGCACGACTATAGCCTTTGCTTACTTGTTTTGTGTTACGAATGCTAATTGGAACTGGTATTAGAGTGCGATTTTTACGGCTGATATTAAAATTCTTCTTTCTCATATTTTTATTTATTTATTTATTATTATTATTATTTTTTGTTTTGGTCAATACAAAAGTTATACATCCTTTGAATTTATTTTATTGTTGCCTTGTTATTTTTTTGCATTAACCAAGAAATTTATATATCCTTTAAATTCCTATTTAAAATTGATTGATTCAGGTCACCGAGGAAATTTGATGGGAAAGGGTTACATGAAAATTAGTTACCATTATCGTTACCCTCATTTTTTGTGTGCTTTGCGTTACACATGTTGTGTGTCTGGCTATTTAAGAATTTCCCCTGAAAACATTATAAAATTTCATTAAAATTTGCATAAGTTTTACAATGTACCGCAAATTACCCTGACACACAACAACGGCAACAGCAACGCCAACAACAGCGTCATCGTCAGTCGACTGGGTAACAACAAAATGTCAATCACAATTAATGTTCAGCAAACGGACGGAGTAGAGACAAACATTGTGTCAACACATCAGGTCAACCAGCTAACAATAACAACAGCAGCAGCAGCAACAACAACAACGATAAACCTTTTTACCATATTTTATCGTTCGACAAAAACCAAAGAAACCAAAACATGCAATATTATGTTGAATGAGGCTCGTCGTTGGTTTACGTTGCCGCTCAATCTTAGTTTTCTTGTTGTTCGGGGAAAATATTTTTAACAATAAAAAAAAAATATTTTTAAACAAAATTTACATAATTTTTTTTTCTTACTTGTATCCTTTCATATTACCAACATTGCTGGTGCCTTTTGTTGCTGTACCTTCAACTTTAACACGCCAGGTGGAAAAGAGCAGTTCATCAACATTACATCGTTCAGCAGATCCCAGTACCTATCCAGCACCGCCCGGCACCCCCAAAGCTTTGAATGTTACCCAAAACAGCATATCATTAAGATGGTCCAGAAGTCAGGAGAAGCCACAGGCAACAAGTCCAATTATTGGGTAAGTTTTTTTTTGTCTTGTTGCTTTTCTTTTTTTTTCGATATTGTGGCAAGGAAATGTGATCACCTTTCCTTTGGATGCATGCAGCAAATTGTTAGTTTGCTAACGGTAAACTGCTGAATTTCCAAACAAACAAACCAAACCAAAAAAAAAAAAAAAAAAACTCTTTCAATACAAGAAGAAAAGCTAGAGACCAGTGTACATAAAGCTCTTAGAGTTTTCCATGAAAATATTGATTTATTTTGTTCAAAAATTTTTTTTGGCAAAACCGTTATGTTTACCTTTGATGTTATTCATTGGAAAATTTTGTGACAGACAAATGAGATTTTTGGGAAAAGGAAAGGAAAAGAAATTTCAAAATTTTCCTAGAAAAGGTATGCTTTGCAAAATGTTAAATTAAAAAGCATACCACAATATGAAGGAGGAATGCACAATAGCATGAGGAAATTGTGAAGGATGTACCCGGAAAAATATGCATTACAAATCGGCTTACCGCATCATTACTCACTTTTCGATTTTGTTAACTCAAAATCATTATATAAGTACATACCTATCGATTTTGACCTTTAAACGTCGATTATGTCATTACTTATTTAAAGGCTTTTAGCGACTATGAAATAGAAGCCAATTCCCTCGACATGTCCTTGTATGTATTAGTATTTTTATACCCTCAGACATATGGCTACAGGGGGTATATATCATTTGATATTGCCAAAACGTGTCTCATCGAAATAACGGTTTTAGGACTCTTTGAACCAAAATCGTTTCAGGATATTTGAAGTCGATCTTGCAATGTCCGTTCGTCTGTCTGGCTGGCTGGTGCTCACGATAACTAAGGGCGTATCCGATTTGGTCCAAGCTTGGTACATCGTAATATTATTGTCACACTTAGATCGAGTTTGGAGATGGGCAATATTGGTCTATTACAACTACTCCTCCCCACAAAAGTTCGAAATTTTCAAAAAATAAAAATTTTCTGCACAGAAAGATAAAGGATAATCCGATTTTGCTACAACTTGAAAATCCTAATATTTGAATCAGTGTGTGAAGAGGGAATATATCGGTCCACTTTTTCAGGTACCTCCCCCACAAATGGTCAACATTTTGAATATTCATGAAGCTCATAAAACATGAAATTAACATCCGATTCCATTCAGACTTCGCACATCTCAATACTTCCATAAGCATAAAGAAGAAAGGTAGAGATCGGATCATTCCTCCTGGTACTTCCCCACAGAGGGTCAAAGTTGTGAATAACCGAAACAATCATGAAATCCGAAATAAGCATCCGGTTCTCTTCAAATTACATATATCACAATATTTTTTATCAACTCAAGGTCTCGGGTGAAGATGAGATATATCGCTTCACTTCTCCTGGTACCTTCCCCACAAAGTTTCAAAATTGTAAATATCCATGAAGCTTATAAAACGTGAAAATAGAGGGAATATATCGGTCCACTTTTTCAGGTACCTCCCCCACAAAGGGTCAACATTTTGAATATTCATGAAGCTCATAAAACATGAAATTAACATCCGATTCCATTCAGACTTCGCACATCTCAATACTTCCATAAGCATAAGATCTGTTATAAAGAAGAAAGGTAGAGATCGGATCATTCTTCCTGGTACTTCACCACAGAGGGTCAAAGTTGTGAATAACCGAAACGATCTTAAAATCCGAAATAAGCATCCGGTTCTATTCAAATTACTCATATCACAATATTTTTATCAATTCAAGGCCTCTGGTGAATATGAGATATATCGCTCCACTTCTCCTGGTACCTTCCCCACGAAGTTTCAAAATTTTAAATATCCATGAAGCTTATAAAACGTGAAAATAACATCCGATTCAATTCAGACTTAACAAATCTCTATTAATATAAGATATGTTATAAAGATGGTAGAGATTGGACCATTCCTTTCTTCACAAGGGTTAAAGTTTTGAATAACCAAAGGAATTTAAAATCAGAAATATGGATCTGGCTCCCTTCGTATTTCACACATACCATACTAACACAAGATCTGCTGCGAAGATGGAATATATCGTTCCACTCCTTCTGGTACCTTCCACAGAAAGGGTCAAAATTTTGAATATCCATGAATCTCATAAAAAGCGTAATTAACATCCGATTCAATTCAGACTTGGCACATCTCAGTAATTCTATCAACGCAAGATCTGTTATAAATATGGTTGAGATCGGACCATTTCTTCTGGTACCTCCCACACATAGGGTTGAAGATTCTGAAAAACAAAACGCTCAAAGAAAGCGAAATAAGCATCCAACTCTCTTCAAATTTCACACATACAAAAATGTTGACTCACACAAGATCTGTTGTGAAAATGATATATAAATTGATTTAAAAATTGCAATATCGAAATATTTCTCTCAACCAGAAACCTGGGATTAATATTGAATTTATGATTTTGCATAAAATTAGATAAAAATGTTCGATTTTCTTGCAAATTTTGCCCATACCAATATTTTTTATCTGTATTAGATTGCATTGACCCATTCTTGAGGAACCTACTCCGTATAGGGTCAACAATTTGAATAATCATAACAGAAGTTAAAATATATTTAAATAATCGACCATTGGCTAAGGGTATACATCTGTTGGCAAAACCGACGGATATAGTTTAACTTGTTGGCTAAGGTTCATATCAATTCAAAGCTGCAGTGGGAGAGACGCTTAGTGCTACAACAAACAATTGTACTCTTCACCAAAATTTCGAATTGCCAATTGTTGTGTTTTCTTTGGAATCTAGGCCTGTTGCAGCCAGATTCCTCCTCTTCTTTTATTTCGTCTTTTGTCGTTTCTCCCCAAAAAGAAGATATAAGATTTTACTCTTTCATTATGCTAATTTGCATGTTAATCTTGCTTACAATGATCTCTGAAGCGTATAAATAGCTAATAAGAAGAAAACCGAAAAACAACGACAACAATCGCAACAAAAGGTGCCACTAGCCGCCTATGGCTATACGAGTATGCAAACGGAAAGAGAATCCAATAACAGATAACAAAAATGCAACATGCATACCTCGAAACGCTTTTCAACTAAACTGTAAAACAAAGCATGAGCTGGAAAGTTGGAAAAAGCTATACCAGCGACATTGTATGAAGAACTGTTGGACAAAACAACAAAAATATGTACTAGGAAAACGGATAATACTTCAGCCGGACCGTACTTTGAGTACCCTCCATCATGGGAAAAAAATTCCTACAACGTGGGTGCTTTGCTACAAGAGCAATATGCGGGATTTTTTTTTTTTTTCTTTTGAAATTTTCGGATTAATATACTTTGCAATACGTTCATTTTACAGTGAGGTTATACAGGGTGACGTAAAAAACTACAACAAAGTCAAACGCCATAATTTTTAATTTTTTTTTATTGTATGAAAGCAAGAAATGTCGCAAATATCATCAAATTTTAGAATAGGTTTGGATTTGTTCGAATTGGACACCTTCGGCACGAATTATGGCCTTCAAACGGCCAATAAAATCATCACACGCTGCCCGAATGTTGCTCTGCGGTATTTTGGCCCATTCCCGGTGAAGCGCTTACTTAAGGTGATCGACACTTTGGTATTTCTTAGTGCCAACCTTGCTTTCCAAAATACTCCAGACACAATAGTCCAACGGATTGGTATCCGGGGATTTTGGTGGCCATTGTGCGCTGGAAATGAAGCGAGGAACCTCATTTTGTAATCATTCTTGGGTGACGATGGTGCTGAGTCCTTCTTGGGTGCGATGGTGCTGAGTCCTGTTGGAATGTCCAAGGTCTGCGGCCAAACGTGTCCAAGGCTTTATAACACCCTCCAGAATATTTTCGAGATAATATTCGGCATTTTCTAATGCCACGGTCGATTTATACCAGCAGAGAGCGACCATCGGCTGTTATGGCGGCCCACACCATCACCACGGCCGGCGCTTGAGTTCTGGTGGCCAACCGAAGGTGCACATTTTCAGCTGAAGTAAACATGATAATTTTGTTTCTTTACAAACTGCTGGACAACGAATGTCTTCTCATCGGAGAAAACCAAATTCGGCAGTTCACCACTTTCGGCCAAGCGAAGCAACCCATTAGCTCTTTTGAGTCTATTTTCTTTCTGTTGCGGTGTAAGTTCTTGCACATTTTGGGATTTCAATGGTTTTACCCCGAGCGTATTTTTCAATATTTGCCGAATGGAATATTGCGATATGTTCAGCTCACGAGCCATTTTTTCGGCCGCTGCGACGCGGGTTTCCATCAAGTCGCTTCTTTACTTTTCAAACCATTTCTGCTGATGTTGCTGTTTTCTTCCGTCCACATCCTTGACGTCGGGCTACGCCACCAGTATCCCGGTAATGAGCGATGGTACGAGACTCAAAAGATTCATTCACTTTTAAATGCCGGAGTGCTCTAACGATAGCCACTTGTGGTTTTCCAGCCAAATATAAAAAAATCACACTATCACGCTTAAATACCATCACGAATAACTTTTTTTCTGGAAAATTCTCGCCAAAATGCTTGGGTAAACAATATAATGAGCTGTCCCTAGAATAATCTTAACAGCTGTCGGACGGGTGGCTTAGAAATGACAGCAGTCTGCGGCTTGTTTGCAGTGTTTTCATCTCATCCTCTGTAGATGTCCCGTGAATTTTGTTATTGTGAGGGGTTTTGACCGTTTTTTCCAATTGAATGATAGAAAAATCATACCACCATAAGATGTTAGAAATTTTTGCATAATCCTAAAACCCATATGAAGGAGAAAGAGGCCAGATTGGCATAATTTGAAAAACTTTATATTTTTTCACATTTTAGCACATCTCAATATTTTTACTGAAATTTTTATCAAGCAGGATAATGAAATATCAATCTCATGAATTTCGCGGGAAGTGTTCATTTTGATTATGTTCGGTAAAGAGTTAATGATTCCTCTCTTCTAAATTTTACTTTTCTGAAATTAAACTATGCAATGGTCTATAGTCCTAGATTTTTAATGCTTGAAGCTTACTAA